GTCCTGGAAAAAAAGGAAAGGTTATCTGACCTCATTAGGGCAATTAGAAGCTCCTTTGCACTGTGCAAACATACCATTCAACAGTGAGTAATGCAAAGACAAACATGTTTTGGTAAGAAGAAAAATGTCCCAGAATTAAAAATTTTAGAAACCGTGCATGCAGTCAGCAACTTAAAGTTTGAAGCCTAAATTCACTCTTCAAAAATTATTTTTGCTTTTAAAAGTTTTCTCCTTAGTATTGAAAAAACTAAAGAGGGACTTCCTCACTGGAGAAAGACTTGGAAAAACCCCAGACCTAAAGTAAAAGCAGTGATCCCAGCCAGCAGTTTTCTGGCTTCCCCTTGCTATTATTAAGTATCCTTCTGTTTGACTAAGAATTTCTCCGCCTCTCACAAACCATCTTTTTTCTTTCTATGTCCAGAAAAATCTGAAAACCATGTGTTGATAATGAGCCTGTTGCTATGCAAATCATTAAAACACATTACAAAAATCTTTCCTTTGAGTCAGGAGGAGAACATAATGGGAGGAGATGAACTTCAAGCAAAGACTCCCTTTGCTGAACACAAAAGCTGGCAAAAAGGAATATGAGAAGCAAAGCAAAACGGAAAAAATTATGGTGGTCCCATCCCTTGAGTCATTTTAACCAAAGGGAGAAAACTAACATTTTTAAAGCCCCAAGGTAATATATCTTACAGTTTGGAGTGGGGTTAACAAACTCTCTTCTTAATCTCTTTAATTCCTACGGTTTCATGACTCATCCTCCATCTGTCTACTAGGGTGTCCTTTTCACCAGTTTTTTCACACTTCTGTTAAGAGTGTCAAGAGATTTTTTTTTCTTTTTATGTATACTCCTGTGCGTATTCTTTTGATAGCTTTTGTCTTCTCATTCAGTTATCACCAAAATGTAGGGCCTGAATTGTCCATTTCTTCTCCAACTCCAACATAGTATCTTGGCAGATTTCTCTTACTTATCAAGAGATTTGTTCTTTAAAAGTCACATCCAGGAGACAAGATAAGACAGAGTATGTTATGACACAGTATATAAGACAGAGTATATTAAAATTAATGTCAAAAAAGCAGAGCTTCTCAATTTTCTAATTTAAAAAATCTAGACTTGATAATTTTAATAAAGTCAATCACCATGTTAGTTTGCAATCGACATCACTCTCAAATTTTTGTTGTGTTGTTCTGAACGCTCTATTAACCTGCAAGTTTTCAAGGGTGGGATTGTCTGGGGACAAGAAATGAAAAACATGCCTTTTAAATATATCTTCCTTTCACCCCTTTGTGTCTTGATATATGTAGATTCACACACATGCCAAAAAAAAACACGGAGTATTAATTCTAAACTCTTTGTCCTTATTCAGAGAGAAGAAATGGCTAGTCCCAACTAATGCTATAGAACCTGTTTTACTCTCAGAAGTATCCAAACCATCGCAAACATGTGTTGGGTGAAAACAAGTTTGGTTGGCTCCAGACAAAGGCTTATTTTTTCAGCACAGATGGTTGCATGGTTGCCTCCTCCAAGGGGTTGCCCACAATGAAAGACAGATTTCTATTTCTAATCTATGCAAATATCTTACTCTTCGGGGCATCACAAAGACTAACTGTTCTGTGTCAGACACTGCAAATCCCAGGTGCTCTCAGAGATGCCACAGCCCATCTCCACCTGAGAGGCTTGTTAACTCTGATAACAGCAGATGACTGGAGAGTTAGTCACTAACCCACTCCTAATGACTGTTGTTGGGGCCTTCTGTGAAACATTCCTCGGAATCCTGCCCCACCACCACTGCTTCTCCTTGGCTGTTCTGCCTGGAAGACAGTTTCAATATTCAGTTTGAACCCCAGATGCTTCTAAAACCTCCCAAGAAGGCTCAGATTCCCAAAGGCTCCTAATGGCTATTAGGAGCATTCTTCACCTTGAGTTTGGCTCATCCATTCGTCTCTAACACCAAACCCAGAGACCTTGAGCATTTACAAATGTTATTCTGTCCAAACCAGGTCTCCTTTATACTCTAGTCCATATGCCTACAACCCGCTGTCGGTCTCATGAAGCATACCTGGGTTGCTGGTGGCAGCCCTCAATCTTCTCAAGCATGTTATTCCCTTTTCCTTATCTTTCTCCCTCTATCAATTTTCCTTTCTTTATTTACAACACTTTTTTCTTTATTTCAATATCTCCTCAGCTTAAGTCTCTGACCTGCTCTGACACCCCTTGGCACACTCCAGTTTTAGGGCCCCTTGGAGCAACAAAAATCCCTGCAATGCTGAAAAAAAATTTTTTAAAAACCCACACACAACTCCTCATGCGAACCCAGCTCCTAACCTTAAACATGTTTTGCTACATAGAGAAGGTTATACCTGAAATCTACATAGTTTAGTTCCAATGTTTAGATCTAAAAATGTCTTTCAAAGTTTTCAATTATTTTCTTCGTTAGTTTTTCTGATCAAATGACAGTAACAGAGTTTGCTTCAAAATCCTGTGTTTGAAAACACTTCTTTCCCTCCTTATCAAACTTCATCTTAAATGAACCAAGCTAAGTGAGCAAAAAGAAATTCTAAAGAAAAAGGAAAAAAGTCCTTCCTAATCTCCAGCCTCAATAACCACCACTGCCAAAAATTCTCACTCTAAACCTCAATTTTTGAGATTTAAACACTTCTTGCTTCAGCTTATGAATGCAAATATTGACAAATAATGTAGCATTAAGTTTACTTACATGGAAAATCTAAAACTGTAAAGAGCTTTAGAGGTTAACGAATTTATTGATTCTCAAGTCGGGATGAACATCAGAACCACCTGAGGAATATTGTTTATTTTACACAATACATCCTCCTGATCCCCAGCCCTAGACATTCCAATTCAGACTTCTGGTACAGCCCTAGAATCCATATTTATAATAAACGCTCCAGGTAGTTATGATATAGCAAGGCCTGGTCTGTTGGAGAACCACTGATCTATTGCAACATCCTACCCAATATGGCGGTCTCCTCTACAAGACACCACACCAGCTATCCACTCTGTGCTACAGTACTTTCAGAGACAGGGGCTCTTGTCTTTTTATAAGAGTGCTTGTTCCACATTTTTATGGGTTTAATTATTAGAAACTATGTTCTTATGTTGAGCCAAACAACCAAAGTCTTTCAACTCTTTGAGCTTCACTGACTATTGGCCCTAATTTTGTGCTCCAGAGCTGACAGAGAATTCCCTCCCCACAAGAGTCCTCAAATATCCAAAGGCAGCTACTGCACCCTTGCAAGACTTCATTTTTCTAAGCTTAAACAACCTTTTCTCCTTAACTTCATAAAGCACATTTTCTGAGTCCCTCACCATTTCAACTGCTCCTCCTCAACAACAGACCTTACAGAACAAGTCTGTCTAGAGCAACAACACTCCACTTGTCCTTACAGCCTGAACTTTTTCCAGTATGCATTAATTTATAGTCCATGTTTCATTCTTGTTACTCACTGCCTTGCATTTAATGGTCCAAGAGCCGCAAATCAGCAAGTACTTATTAACCTAGTGCTGTATTCCTAACACTGTGTCAAGTACTCAACGAAGATTCAAAAGCCAGTGGAAATTGTCCCATTTTGAGGAGTTAATTTCTTGTACAGAAATAACTTAGATAAGTGAAATAACTTAAAAACAATACACGATGGTATGTAACCAAGTGCTTCGAATGAACAACACCTGAGAGACTGAACAAAGGTTTCCTGGGTCAGACTGTGGCCTATTTCATGGACTCTCTTTAGAGAAATATCACCTATTTAACAACAGTTTTTGATTTAAAAAAAAGAAAAAAGAAGGAAACTATCATCTTAAAATGTATATAAAAATTTCAAATGCATCCTTATTTCAGAAATTTAAAATCTAAGAAACTACACATGGCAATAATCAAGTAGAATACATTCCTTCTTCTCTCTCTCAGTGCATCACTGGCATTGCTTCCCAAGCACTCTGAATGCCATGATCCGAGGAAAAGGCAAAAAGTAGAGGGTTTACATAATTCCCTTTATTACTGGAAATAACCATTTGATGAGGAGACATTCCTCTGCATTTTTTTTTTTTTTTTGGTGAGGAAGATTGGTCCTGAGCTAACACCTGTGCCAATCTTCCTCTATTTTGTATGTAGGACACTGCCACAGCAAGGCTTGATGAGCGATGTGTAGGTCCACGCGCGGGATCTGAATCCGCGATCCCCGGGCCGCCAAAGCAGAGCAAGCGAACTTAACCACTACACCACCAGGCCGGCCCTCCCTCCCTGCATATTTTAATGGAAAACTCTTACCAATAAGTGAACTTTACTAATAGCAGCAAAAATGCACTTGTTTTATTCACAGAATCACAGACTATCAGAACTTTAGGAACCTTATGCAAATCCCTCACTTGACAGATGAGGGGGAAATATCATTTCAAAGATGCAGGTGTTTACGCCAGGTAAAGCAGCCACTGAGCAGAAGGATGGGACCAATCCCCAGGTCTTCTCTCTCCTGTTGGCTTCCTGTCTCTTCTTACTTAACCTAGGACAATCAAAACTCATGCCCTTCCAACATTTTCATCAACCCTACTCCCTTCTTCAGTTACCTTCTCAAGCCTCAAATCCAAAGTCTGATGTTACATTTTGTTTTGGGGACATTGAGGGAAGGAGTGGACCAAACAGTATCAAGTGGTTAAGTTTTTATTAAATTCTAGTATATCTATTTGACTCACAGTCTCCCACTAATACTTCTATGCTACTAGCCACAAAATTCTGCCTGACTCAGGATCACTGCTACCTTACCAGCATTATAGGGAACCACTAGGGTTAGCTATATGGATTCAAACAAAAATTCTTAAGTTGCAAAGCAACTGGTAAACACAATCCCCCACCACCCCACCCTCTCCCCGACTCCACACACTCACACACATACACATCCCTCAATCAACCAGCTCATCTACTTCATCTGAAGCCTCACAGTTAATCCACACCCTCCTTTGGAACACGGGGAAAAAATGCACCTACCTCGTGGCCTCTTGCTGAAGCCATGACACATTTGGCACATAGAACATGACTCCAAAGAAGAGCAGCGGCTCATTAGCGAATTTGTCCAGATGTTTCTTCAGAGGTTTCTCCAGCTCCACCCATCGTGCTTGCTGGCTCTTGCTGAGAAACCAAAGGCCAAAGTAGTGCGTCTAGATCAAAAGGTAAAACAGCATCAGTTCATGCTTACAAGGGACATCCTGAGACCACATAGGCAACAAGACTCCAGCACCTTATGTCACCTTTGGTTCCCCAGCCCAAAAAGGATCCAGCTTTTACTTTCTAACTTTGGGAAAAATTGAAGGAAACCACATGTACACAATACTGTAATCTACACTGAGTATCCAGGTGCAATATTCACACCCATTGCTGCCATTGGTACACGTGGGCACTGATGCACCTATGTCAGGTAAGGAGGACGGTGCAGGGTGGGCACAGCACTGACTTCTAAGATCTCAAGGCTGACTTTCCTGTGCCTCCTGAATGCCCCGTGATCTCACATGGCGCATGTTGGCACAGGCAAACACAGTTCTTACACCTGCTGCAAAGCAACTTATTACTCAACTCCTAAGACAAAACCTTCTGCCAACTGAAAGCTTCCACACTGTAGAATATTTTCATATAGTACCAGATTTTAACAGAACATCGATTCACTCTTTTTGAGCTTTAATGAAGTACTTTAAAAAAACATTGGCCTCGCCCACTTCATTATACATGAATTGCAGCAAATCTCTCCCCCATATCAAGCTTTGAGAGTGGAAGGATGTCCCCTCCACAGCTGCCAGAGGAGCCTCTGGTGGCTGTTCCTGGCAGATTACGGTGGGATTTGATAGATGAAAGTGAGATGTTCACTCTCAGACTCGAAGCTTCTACCAGTTTAGTTTTGAACAACATGCTAAATGATTAAAACAGGTACTTTTATGCATCCAATCCTGTCTTTATATTAATTCATGCTAGGATTTCAGGATTAACACAACAATCACCAAAAAACAGATCACTGCTTTTGAAGCATTCTTTCATATTTCAATTATAGCCTAGAACAGTTTACAGCACACCTGGAAATCTGCCTTCAAGAGAATGTTTTCATTACAATGTTTAATTTCCAGAGGCATTTTCATGCTGATGTTCCCACTCTAGCTGGCTGCCCACTCACGGATACCATAGATCAATCCCTACCAAAATCTGTAATCAAGTTTTGACTCTGACTTTACTAGAAAACCAGAAATGTCCTTGCCTACACAAAGCTACAGACCCAAACACTCTAACGGATATTCTTAAACGGGTGTACTTTCAGATGGGAGCAACCATTTGATCAGCTCTCCTCCAGGATGTTCCAAAGGGCAAGTTCACACCAGAAACCTACGCATTTCTCCAGCAACAAAATGCCAACAAACAGAGCCAAGGTTACATTTTGACCAACTTAGACAAACTTGCTGGAGTGAATTCTGACCCTATTGTGCATTTCCCAGCTTCACTGAGTCCACTGGTTGTTCCAATGTGACTGATGATGTAGAGGAAATGAAATGCAGCTGAATAGAAAGAAAACAGGCTTTGAAGTCAGTTCATCTCCCAGCTTTTGCACTCACTGTCTCAGTAACTTCGAACAAGTTACTGAGGCTCCCAGGGTCTCAGAGTTTTCTCATCTGTAAAATGGGGATGACGATCACAGCTATCACCCACAGGCTGTTAGGGGTGTAAAGGAGGTAATGCCTGTCGACCGTGTATGTGGCACATGTGAAGTAACTACTTCATAAATGGTGCTTTCTGTTGATGCTGCTGCTACTATTATCATCGTCGTCATCATCTGTAAATGGAAGCAGGCAAGCCTCAAGAATCTTTCTCATCCACACGACTGACATCCCTATAAACCACAGAATCAGAAAACCGAGGTTATCTGGAAATAAATGAGAAAAAGTGGGCAAGAGTAAAAGCTGGAAGACCTATAAATAACAAAAAATCTAAAAGATATAAGAAAAAAGAAAAATCACAAAGCAGTGCCTCGCCCAAGATTGTCTTTAGTCTCATTATAGGTGTTTATGGGACACGGGACCATCACTCTGATGCTGCCTGAGGGCATCAATGATGTAGGTTCAGGCTAACCTTAAAATGAGGTAATCTGGGTACTTAATAAACTGTCTGAAAAGGGTCCAAGGCACTTCTGCATTATACTGAGCTCCCTTACGGAGCACAGTGCCGTATAAGGGTATTCCACTGTATTTTGGATGGCTAGGAGTGAGTTTGCATATAATAAATGAGGTAATATATGTAAACAGTAACCTGCTATGTAATAATTATTTTAGTTGGAAAAGAGTCCTTCTATAAGCATGGGTGGAGAAAGGGAGGGCAAACTTTGCAATTGCTTAATAGGCCAAGTATGATTTATTATTTTTTACTAAAAGTAGTCTTGACATTTGGGGGTATAATTTTGTGGTCCATACTTCATCCAAATTATAACAGTCACTCAAATTACTAACATTCAAATTATGAAGGGTCCAGAGTAACTGCATAAACATTCTACAATTGATTTGGCAAAAAATAATTTTAATTTTTACTGCTCCTATGCTTTGAAGGCTAGTATTTTAAATTTCCTTTTCTCATTCTCGCCCACTCAATCATTAAACCAGACCTGATCTTCCCCCTAAAAACCACCCTGAGAAAGAATATTCCACGGAGTACACCTACATATGCATGCACATAGATACAGGCACACACATGCATACAACGAAAAGGAGGATGATGAGGTACAAGAGAAATCATGGTAAGGTTAACAGTCTTGAGCCATAATTACTAGTACAGAGCTCTAAATAACAAGGTAAACCACTTCTAATGCTAAAACCTAATTCACGGTATAAGACTGTTTTGTTGCTGCGATATAGCCTTTTCCAGAGGACAGAGGGTATTCCAGGGTGACTCGCTATGCATTTAGCCAATGAAATAATTACATAACTACTCAAGAAGTGGGGTTTCCAGTGCAGGGTAGAACTGGGGGAGGCAGGTAACCTGGAGGACAGTTTCTGCCTACTCAGGGCCAGAAGAACCTAATTTCAGAAGTGCTGAATTCAGTTATCTAGTAAGAAGGAAAGTCCATTTACGAGATGCCCATCCCCACAGTGTTTTGTGAAGTATGCCCAAAGGAACCCTCTCCCTTCCCACCCTACCTCCCTCATTCTTCCTCTAGTATATCCCTACTCTGGAGTGTTCAGGAGAGGAGAAGGGCCCAGTCTCAAAGTTCATACCCTGCTCTATTCAAGTCTGCAATGCAGCACAAGTTTATTCTGCCATGTCTACACAGTGCTTCACAGGAAACGGAATCAGAACCTAACCTCTCACTTAAACTAACATGTGCACCAATCAACTTCCTGTGTATTGGCCAAGGGAGCATTAACCCCATCAGGCCCAGGTGAGATCACACCAGGCCTATTCATAACTGACTCGCCAATTTAAATTCCAGCTGAATTCTGGACTCTGAGCTTCACTGCTAAACACTGCCACATGGTTGAGGAGAATGTGGTGGATGATTCCAAACAGAAACCACCTCCTCCATGACCAAAAGGATCCTACCACATTGCCTGAGTAAATGTCTGAGGTCTTGTTTTGTTTATCTCTGAAGCACCAAACATAAGTCAGGTCCATGTAATCCTCACAATACCTCTGGGTGAGCTATAAATCCCATTTTATTTCTCTAGTTTTCTTTAGAAAATAGCTCTGGTGGCGTGAATTCTGCAATGAGTTCACTACAATGAAGAGAAAAGAAGACAGAGACCCAGTTCCCAGGGAGAGGAACCACATTTCTGAATCAATGACTAAAAATGCACTACTAAGAAACAATGTGAGGAGAGCCATGCTAACATGTCCTTTTCCTATGAGTAGCTTCCTGGTTTATTTGGTTTGGAGTTTTGTATTTTAACAGAGGAAATAAATGTATGCATGCACTCAAAAATATGCTATTTTCTTCAGTGGCAGACTGGTATGTGAATACATTACTGTCAAAGTAAGATCCCTTTTTTGATATCATGAAAAGATTCTAGTGAATAAAGGCCTTTAAAAATAGCTTCCGGTGTTTTTAACTTTTTTGTTCATTTATTTGTAGAGATGGTGGTATCCCCCACATTAGCTATTAATAGGTAAAGATTTTTTTGAGGGTTTTGTTTTTCCACTTTTGTAACCAACGGCACAGCTTTAATGCTATTTGTAAGGGTTACAGACGCAGTCTTGGCAATTACTAGGGATTAAATCCATGATCTTATCTCAAGTATTCTGAAGAGCTAATCATCCAGAAGCAAGAGTTTAAAATATCTTGCATTAAGTTGTAATAGGTTGCCCGTAATACCCAGTATTTCAGTTGTAAATTAAGAAACAGAGAGTTGGTATGCCTCCACGTAAAATACACAGGAATTGCACACAAGCATTAAAACTTTCATCGAAGCATGGAAAATACTTCAAAAGATGACTGTAAGCAGACTCTGAAACAGCACTTCATGCAATTCCATTCCAATGGCTTTGGAAAATAAACCACTGTACATCAGTTGGATAACTGTAAAAAAACAACTTGTGTGCAATCAACCTCTACTCTGGGTGGGTCTGGGATTTCTATAACTGACACATCTATAATTAACAACTGCACCATCTTCATGTTCCTGGCCAATCTCTTCATAAAAGTACAGGAAAAGAAATTGCAGAGTAACATAGACCCAAGAAGCAAATCTCATAGCCGAGAAAAATCACTCTTCTGAGGCTGCACAACTCACTCAGAATATACAAAAAAATGAAGACTTACCAGTTAAGACGGGAAATTATTTCACCTACAATCTCTATATCTAGCAAATAGACACTGGTGCCATTTTACCTGACAGAATTGACATTAAGCTAATAAGATTTCACATTATAGTCTTTACAAAGACAAAAAGAAATAGAAAATTCAAAGACCAGAAATATCCCCAGCAGTCTACTCTGCAATGGATTCTTAATCAGTGCTGATTATTTTAGTGCTCTGCAAACACAAACATATATGGCTATGGTTAAGCAGACTATAAAATACAAACAGCAAATTTCACTATTATCTGAGAGGGCCAGGGAATGAGGAGTTCCATTTAATCAAGTCCTCCCATAATCACACATACGTTACCAATTTCCAAAAGACTAGCATAAAATC